ATTCTTCTACTTCACTGCTGCCCAGAACAGAGAGCTGTTTTTGAGCTAATGCTGAAGAGAATAGCCATGTGTAAGCCTCAGTAAGATCAGGCTAGAGAAATGCATATACAGAATATTTTGCAGGAAAACAGGTGCCTGAATGTTGACTTCTTTGGTGTTTGAACACACTTATTTATACTTCACACTGAAGAGACTGCCTGTCAATAGGGTTGCATATTAATGGAACGTGCACTTATTTGAGGTATGCAAAACACAGGCTGCTGCAACTTGTAGGTGCTTTACCTTTATTAGCCTCAATATGTACCTGTGTTTTGAAGAAAGTTGAAGATCTGTTAAGCGAATGGCTTCGCAGCTGAAATACATCATGATGGATCATTCTGCCTTGGCTGAAGATGTAGCTAATGGAGCTATTGAAGAGGTGTGATCTTTTGTAGCAAATACTTTGTGGATGGATGCAGAGTTTGGTTGCATTTTCAATCTCCCTCTCACTCAGGAATTAGTTACCTGTCGCCTTTTGCATGCTTGCACAATAAACATTGGTTGCAGATGTTGGAGTGGTGTGCTGCTTGCTTCAGCAGAGTCAATCTGTCTTGTCCACGTGCCCAAGTGCAGGTGGATGCAGGGTGGTCCAACTCTCTCTGTGGCAGTTGGGTAATTGTGCTTATTTTAGCCGTTTCCTATGTATCTGTGCTACTGAGTCTTTAACAGGAAACAGTCTGTTTTCCCATTGCACTCTACCTAGTTTCTTCTTTGGGATTTCAGGAGAAAGGAGGTATTGTTTGTGCCCTAGTGTCAGTGTGCAAACAGACTAGCCTATTTTTAATATAAGGCATTTTCTGCTATTTGTAGGATGCATTGCTGTGTCCTAAAATAAGATATTTAACTAATGCCTGCTTGAAACTACTTTCTGGGGAATTAAATTCGTTTTTTTTTCTTTTTCTTAATGTGATTGTTACCTTTGTAATGCCTTGTAATATTGAAACAAATTCTGTCAGACTGCTCCCAGGTATTCCGTTCATTAAGATAAGCTTATTTTATTAGGTTGCCTGTGAACAAAGCAAAGATAACTACAGTACTTATCTTTAACCACTGTATGCGCTACCATGCAGCACAACCTGTATATGAGCATCAGTATCCCCAGATTCATGGTGGACTTCAGCTCAAACAGAAGCAATTCCAGGTTGCCTGAGGCAAGTAGATAACCAGGGTTATCTAGATTGTGATGTAGATTGTTTTAAAGATATTCTTCAAAACAAGCACTGCTTAACATATGCATGGTGTACAGTTGGAATAGTAGCACGGTTAGGATGGTTCTTTACAGGTGTTATAGTTGGAAAGCTTATTGCAGTGAAAAAGAAACAATCAAGGAAGAAATACCTGTATTTATAGTACCTCCAAAAAGGAGGGATCTCTAGAAAGAGATCCTTCTCCAGTGCTAGTCAGCCCTTAAATAGGAGAGGAGAGGTGGAGTCTTCTGGTCACACAGGTGAATTGCCTTCTCCTGTGCTCCCAGGGCTGACCTAGTCCTTGCCTCAGGTGATCAGTCAGTGGTTCAGGCTGTGGCTCAACAGTTCCCATACACGCAGAGCATACCTGAGTAAGGAATGAGCTTTTTAGTAATTGCTTCTTAAACTGGTGTGCTTAAAGTAGGAACTCAGATGTTGGAGAAGTCTGTGAAAGCTTTGGGAAATTCAGCCAAGTCTTTACCCAGAAGAAAAATACCAGGCTTAAATATGTAGTTTGTGTCACTGTGATTGTAGCTAAGTGGCTAGGAAGCAAGAATATGACCTGAAGCTTGAGACACAATGCGTTCTTTCATACCTTCTTTCTATTTGTAGTAAAGAAATACTAAGCGGAAGGTAAACTAGCAGTTGGTATTTGATATCTTAAACTAGCAGTTGGTATTTGATCTCTTTTTTTTTAGCTGTAGAATATTGATACCCTTTAATTTTCTGTAAGATCTTTAGCTTCTGAGGACTTCAGAAGAATGGTAAATACTAAAACAGGTGTAGAATCTGGAAACATTCTCATTTTAGAGAGAAATTGAGTCACAAAAAAACAAATGATCCTCTAGCAAATGATCCAAAAACTCTGGTGGCAACAACCAAACACTTGAGTAACAGAAATTGTAATACAGAAGAAAAATTTGCAGAGATTTTGTAGATAAATCATCAGTGAGCAAGGAATTATAATTGTAACTGTTCTTCTGAAATGGTACCTGTTTCTTGAGATGAATGTTAGTAATCCAGTGGAAAGTGGTTTTTCTTTTGTTTTCTGGGAACTGCCTCCTCCAATAGCATCCTTCTCAGTAAGGCTCCCAGCTCTGTCTTTGATCACAATCCCCTTTTGTGCTGTGTAGTAATAACAAAAGTCACATGGAGATGGATAAACTCAGTCAGACTTTATGACACTGCCATTCCTGAGCTGTCATTCCATGGCAGTGTGTTTACATATACACAGATCTATGCATACATATGTATATATAAAAAATTAAAAATGAGATGGATTTTTTTCTTTGCTCATTTTCAGCTGAAAGTGAAGTTGTTAAGACGTGGCCTCAAGATTTTTTCCCAGCTCTCTCCCTTGTTCTTATGGAATGATACAGTCTGTGACTCTTTGCATTTGTTTTCCAGTGTCCTTTCCTTCCAGCCTATCTATTTAGGTGGTTTCAACCATAACTTTAAAGCAGAAGTACGTTCTTCCTGATTGGCACTTGAATGGGAGACTTTGAAAGTGATGTGTGAAAGTGATGTTCTTTGCAAATTACTTGTAATCTCTTCTGAGTTTAAACAAAACACGAGCTGACCTTCAACACACACTTCCCACTGTGGATACCAAGAGGATGAGGGAGAATGAAACAAAAAATAACTCACTACTGACAGACTCCCAAGGACTTGTCCCATTTGGAATAAAAGATTTTTGTAAGTTGGCAGAAAATCAAAGCTTTCTCATTCTTATTAACACTGTAGCATCATGATCTGTAGACATCTTTATACCAGGGAAAATTTTATTTAAAGTTCCCATAATTGCAACCAAACTGCTGCTGTGAAATCTTGGGATTCCTCACGCAGAGGAGATTCTCTTGATATTTCTTATGCTGAGGGCAGATTCCCAGGGTCCACTTTTCAAACTTAGTTGCTGACTCCTCAAGGTTTTGTCTACTTAGAAAAACTGACCTCTGTTTAATATTGCCAGAATTTCTACATTTGCAGGAGAAGTAAATAGAATGATTTACATTGTCGTAGTCCTCGAAAAAGCATGGCAGAGCATAACCTCTTTTGTGTTCTGGCAAAACACAAAAGTTACCACTGGGAAATCTGTTGTTTGTATTTGAAGTGCTGAGAAGGTAATCAACTAATTCTGGCAATTATTTCAGTAGGAATTGTGTGTGTAAGTGAGCCTGTGACAAAGGCCCTCTCATTGTAGCTTGAATACAACACATACACCTGCAGACTAATAACAATAATGAATAAAAGTAGTAAGAGGAGGGAGAAAGCCTGGAGAAAGGCTTTCATTTTAAAAGAAAGAATCATTCAGTTTCACTTGCCGGCGAAGCACTTCCTTGAAGGGTAGCTTGATGATCTTTGCATCTGATGCAGCCATTTGAGCACCATGAGACCACAGCAGGAAGAAGGGATGGAGAACAAACAGCCCATGAGGAAGCCTAACGGTTCTGAATGTCTAAGGCATTCCAATGAAAATTGGAAAGAAGCTGAAGTCAATTACTAAGCTGAGCTGGGGATCAACATAAACTAACAAGCATAAATGTAGACCTGAAGTTATCAGCAAAAGCCAGACACGTGTGAGTGTGTGCATATGAGAGCTTGTTACTAAAAGCAAAGAGAGAGCAAAAGATGTTTTGCTTTGATGTTTGTTAGAAGAAAATGATGGCAACCCATACCATTTGGTATCAATGGAGAGGCTCTTCTGAAGGGTTACTTCATAGTATGTAACAATGAATAATTTTATAGGCATCAGCTCTCTCTACTTTATAGAAGTCTGAATTGAGCCTGTAGTCCTTTGAACACTCTTTATTTACTAGTATTACCAAAGTTTATCTTTGATTCCAGAAAGCCTCTGGAACCTGACTATACCTCTTAGTAGAAGGGTGATAGTCTGGTTACTGCATTTGCATGAATGAAGACTACCAAGAAGGATGCCAAACTCTGATTTTTGTTTAAGTCTAATATTTTAAATCCTTTACGTGGCTCTCAGAAATATTTCTGCATTTTCTTGATTCCATTGAACAAAATGGTAAGTCCACCAGCTCAGAAGAGTAAAATATTTGGGTTTTCTTTCTGCAGTCTAACTGTGTGAAGGTAACCTCTAGTAATTAGAGGATGAAGCAAGAAACTTCAGGGTCACATAGCTCAGCACTTCTAATTGATGCTTTTCTACAATAAAATACATCACGAGAGAAAAATGCAGGAGCTGCAGTGAATTAGGCCCAGTGACAGCAGTTAGAATTGCTAGATGAAAACAAAATATGGAAGTCTGTTTGGGGTCCAGTGGTAGAAATAGTTCTCTAAAAAGATAAAATGTTATTACATTTTATTAAATAAAGATCCTACTCAGCAGATATTAGAGCAAGTGGCTGTGAAGACTGAACTGTGTGTTTTTGCTGTTGTTTTTAAGAGCATTGATAGGATCCCCTCTCCTGAGTTTTCTGGTCTTATATTTATGCTTATTTCTGTTGGTGATAGGCAACGAGATAAGGGTTAGTCTTCATAACAGATATTATTCTATGATAGCTTTCTACATAGGTTTTTGTCTTAGCAATACTTTGCATCCTCACTGATTCTTTTTTCCTGTTTTTGAACCTAAACAATCACCATGCAGATGTTGTTGAATCTTGTAATGAAAGCACACCCATCACTGACTGCCAGACCAAACTCCCAGTAATCAGCTGCTGTGGCACCCTTCTTATTCCACTTGGTTTTAAGATGTCATGTCTTCAAGCTGAAAAGCTCACTGTCTCTTGTTCTTTTTTTCCCTTATAGAGCATGATGAGTGTGGCAGTGGGCAGCACAGCTGTGATGAGAATGCAATCTGTACCAACACTGTCAGAGGACATAGCTGCACTTGCAAACCTGGATATGTGGGGAATGGGACCATCTGCCGAGGTAAGTCTGCTATTCTAGAAGCAATGTAAAAGTGGCATACTCTATTAATATTTTCTGACAGTCACCTACATTCTGTTAACTTGTGATGATGGCTGGATTCTGTCAATAATTCACTGTTAGATTCATCATATGGCAACTGGAATGCACATAGAGATTATGGGAATTGACTTGTGCACAGCTTTTCAGCAAGGAGTTATTTCTGGAATGCTAGGAGTAAAGGACTTTTACTGTCATTCTATACTGTCATTTGAGTTAGGTGTCTTTCTGATTTTAAGTGATATTAGCTGTTTATTAATGTCACATCTAGTCTTTAAATTTTAATCAGATGCCTTTTATATTAGAATAATCATCTCTTCTAATATCATATTGCTGCACTTTGTCTACTCTCACATCAGAGTAGGGCTTTTTTTTTTTTGTTCTTTACATTTGAACACTTATTTTGAAGCTTTCTCTCTTATGTTAGCAAGAAATATCTGGAGTTGGCTATGCTTTCTATGAAGTAGGTCAGCTTTTTAGAAAGGTTTTTTATTTCTGTGGAGGACAAGCAATGGTGTATTTAAAGGCAGGGGTATGACTCTGTTAACCAGTTGGCTTGGTGGGGGCTCTGTCATGGAGGTACTACTCAGTTCTACCTCTTATGTATTTATGAATTGTCTTGTTGCATAAAAAGCTGTTTTTGCCTTGCCTGGGGTTTTCTGACTTGCAATAATTGAAAACTAACATTTTTTTTTTAAATGATAGCTATTGAAATTGACAAAGTAGTCTGTTGTGAACTTCCAAGGAATTCTTTAAAGAAGTAGGACTGATATCATTCTTGCTACAAGCTAAAGTTCTTCACTAAGATTGGCCTGTTGGCCACAGAATTAGCATATGCCATCTGATTGCTTTTTGACTTGACTTTTTTTGAGATTCTTCATCTGCACAAAGGATAATGCTATATTCAGTACTGAAAGATGTTTTGCAGTGTTTTAAGAAGCATTCCAGAAACAATATGAAAACGGTGGCCAAGTTAAACCTCCTGTTTTTATTGAAGTTCAGGAGGTGATACTGGGGAGATGCTGTACTGTATTACAGTGAATGTAAATTACGGCATAGACAAAGAGTTTCATGGAAGTCTCTGTGAATAGCCTGGCTGTGTTTCACTGTTTTTGTTGTTGTTGTTGTTGCTTTTCTGATGTTAATACAATGTAAATCTTTAATGGTATTTCTTTGAAGCAGGAATGCTTGGAGTAGCTCACAAACCATCTTTTCACACTGATGATCTTTGGTCACCTAGTACTGGGTTAAAAGTACTGGCCAAAAACTCTAACTCTCATTGCATATTTATTAGTCCAGTAACGTTCAAGTAACTAAATATTCTAGTAATGAGATTACACTTGAGAAATGCAGAGATGTTTTCATCCTCAAAATTTGTTGAAAGCTGAGTTGTGGTTAGACATATGTATTTAAAATGCCTTGAATTGCACAGGTGAAGGTACTTAGGGTTACTTGTTTGAGATAAATGTACATGGAAATAGAGAAAAAAAAGTGATTCTTACATTCTGACTATGAAGCGTGAACTGAGGGGAAAAGTGGAGATGGTAGGAAAGCATTTTGCACTCTAATAATTACTGTATTCACTAGGGCTGAGAATTATCATTTGCTACATGGAATAGCCATTACTGCAAGTCAGATGATACTAGAATGTTGCAGTGTGTTAGCAAATAGTGCAGCGTGCCACGTCAAGAAGTGGTCTGAGTTTCTCAGCCTGTGGTTCTGTGGTCACTTGAGGTTTTTACAATTTGGGTAGCTAAATGGAGAGGCATTCACATTTTACACATTAATGGTAACATGTAATTTGGCTTAAAAAAAAAAAAAAAAAAAAAAAAGGCAGAAAAAGCAGAATTATTATCAGTTTCCAGACATACTGGTTGGCTTACAGTTCTACACTTGGCACAGGAAAAAAGTTGTGCACTTGTCAGGACAACTATCCATAATTTAGGTTGTCTTTTAGCAATTCTGGAGCTTCATTTTCAGGCAGCGTAACTTGGAAAAGAAGTATATGTAAGCCAAGGTAATAAGTTTGATATAATACCATCTGAAGCTGACAAACCTCCTTGAGTCACCTATAAGTGTTTTATATTTACATGTTATAGATGTTTGCAAGCACAAAACATTTGTCTCAACTCCTACTGAAGTAACGTCTCTCCAGTTCTGTAAGAAATCTTATTAATATTGTCCATAAGTAGAAAAATAATTTTATAATCAGAGAGCAATACTGACTTTTGTCTGATTGTACAATATATTTCAACCTTATCTTCGCAATGTCATAAATTCAGAGTAATGTTGCTTTTTTACTTTAGTGACAAATGCTGTGATTACATCTTTGTAAGAAAACAAATACCATAGGTCTGTTTTAGAAATTGTGTGAGCATTTAAATGAAATTGCATAGTGAAATACTGATAAATACAGTGAAGTTATTTTGGCGGGCAAGTTGGTGATATCTGCACTTTTTGTGGAAAGTATGGAGAAATAAAAAGGACAGAAGTAATCTGAATATTAATATGGTTGTTGTGTAGAAATAAAAACAAAAAGACGTGAGGAGTGAAGCAGAAATTTTTCAAAAAATAATTGCATAACCAGGAATGCCATCTTTCTTACACATTTCATGTGTAAGAATTTTTTTGCTTTTCTGTGAATGTGGTAGACTAGACTACATAATTAAGGACTGGATTATGTCAAGGTAGGTGTGGAAATTATCATGAAGAAAAGCAGTGGAAAAGGGCACGGTCCAAGACCAAATGCTCTTTTTCATTAAAATAGATACAATTATAGTTTAAATGACATAAAAACAAACAAAAAAAAATAAATAGAGGTGAATGTAAGAAAATCTTCATAAATACACAGGTACCAAAACACAGGCAGTGGGACTGTATATAAGAATAAGGACAAACAGAACTTATTTATTTCCTATGGATGTAGATATTTTCTCTATTTTCCTGTAAGAAATAGGCTTTAGTTCCTCAGAAAGATACTGAAATTTTGGGGATAGTTCATAAAAAGAGTGAGCTTAAGTTGAGATGAAATGACAAGAGACTATGATGCTGTACCATCATGGTACAGCAAATTTGACAGAGCGCTGGACCCAGAATAAAAAAGGATTTATATCTTATTACTTTTGCAAAAAATGCACAGTAAAATAAGAAAGTCTTTTTTAGAAGAAGCTATGACATTAAAGGTAGAGAATAGTGGTAAAACCAGTTGCATGGAGTATTTAAGTGGAAGCTGAAACTGTGGTCCTACAGGTTACTAGATGAGTAGATGAGATGTACTGCTGTCTAAAGTCATAGAAAGAGTCAAAGGTATACTGAAACGTCATCAGATTTCCCAAAATAATTGATGATATTTTACAGACATCAAACCACAAATAAACGCTGTAGATTCTGCTGGAGTTATAGATCAGTTTTTTGCAACTTGAGCAAAATTTGAGTCAACATCAATGCTGTGTTACAATTGGATGTTTTCTTGTTTCGTGCAAAGAGTCCTAGAAGTAGTGTATGATCCTTGTCCTAAAGTTTGTTTTGAAAGGTAACTTCTGCCATAGAAATGTAGCAGTGGCCCTTTTTAGAATACTCAGGTGGTAAAACAGGAGACTTTCGTCTGCAATGTAGGCAAGATGTGTTGGCTACTCCTTTTTTTGTATATCCCATTTGTGCAGAGCAACCAAAAGTGTAACACTTAACCAAGCATGAATATTTTTCATTTTATTTCTGTGTTTTACTTGTATAGTCTGCCTAACAGGTTTATGTGGTGAACTATTAATACCTCATTTGATGGTTTCTACTGAGACATAGATTTATTACAATGATTAAATGAGGTGGATTTAGTTACAGTCGTAAACATTAATGCAAGTGTGTGCAAAATGACTAATACCTGTCACATCAGGTATTGTGACATAGAAATCAAAACAGTGTTTGTTCTAATTAGTTTCCATGTTGTAGAATCGCTTATTTCTGAGAGTATGAAATAGGATATTTTTTTTTTCCTGCAGCGTTTCTCAGAAAACTCTCAGGGGATTGCAACTCAGTGTATGGTGGAGTCTTAAAGAAGGCAGCTGTAATTTTAAAGTGAGATAGTTTCTGTTTTACTGGTTAAATCTTAAAGTCCAGCTTAGTGTCTTAATTGTACTGTTGTTCTTCATATATATTTACCTTGAAAACTGTGTTTTATAGTGTGGTTGTTACTTAAGGACTTACTGGTCACCTTATGAACATCTTACTGGGATTCTGGTATGGAAAAATGTCCAGATTTTGAAAGAATGCTGTTTTCTTTTCTAAGGCAATGGGAATAATGACATGGAGTCTTTATTCATAATACATTCAAAGCATTTGCTGATGACTAGAGTAAATCACAGGCTTGAAAATTAATTTTGTCAGACGTGAATCAGTAATTAGGACTATTTTTCACTGTCTTGGTCACAAATTGCAATTGTATGGGCATGTCCTTTTTTAACAAATGGCAGTCTGAGTGTTGTCCTTCATTGCAGTTTTCTCCTTTTTTTTTTCCATGCAGGAATTTTTTTTAGTAAAGTAATTCTTAGCCTGAAGTATACTTAATAACCTGAAATAAGTGCAGGTGAAAGAAACTGTATATCTTCCAGTGTGTAGATGTTGTATTGACAGTGTAGTAAATAGACAACTAAAAACAAATTCTCATCCCTTGTTACAAAAAATACTGAAGAATAATGAGAGCTGAAGAAGAAAGCTCTAGTCTTATTGGTTATTCCTGTGCTCCATTCTCTACTTTTTTTTTTTGCGTCCCTCTTACATTGACATCAGCAATACTGAGATTAAATGCCAGCAATGTGAGACTGTTCAGTATGCTTATATCATTTTGTAAAAGCATATCTGATCACTCGGAGACATCTAACTACCACACTAGATTTGGATGTTCTGTGTGTGTGTGTTTGTCTGTTGGATGTGGACTTGAAAGCCTTTGTGGAGTGCTGGAATGTGTTAGG